CAATGTATTCAAAATATATCGATAATGAAATAAACGATAATTTAATAATTACATCGAAGGCGACCTTAATTACTGATCACTTGGGCTATTAATTGTAAATAAATAACGATAAACGGATAGATAAGTGAGGATGAACATAACTGATTCCATGCCAATAGTAATAAGGTAAGTTGTTGTTATATATATTTTTAATAAATATTTTTCTTTAGCCGTGTAATTTGCGCAAGAGTCTTTTTCAAGTCCCAGTTCGATTCCGTAACAGGTTAAAATAGAGAAAAACTAACTTTTATTACAAGCCTGCGCAGAAAAGGGACTTTTGTCCGCGGAGGACAAGTTTCACAGATAGACAGATTTATTGGTCGTTTGTGTTTGACCACTCGCTTACATTGCAAGCGAATACAACTGGCCGCCACCCCGGCCGCGTCGTCTTTGGGACACTTTATTGTCCGCCGAGGACTCAACGCACACGATGAGCGAACATTGAAAATAGAGAAAACCGCATGTTATGGAAGTAAATTACGTCGTGTTGTAATTAACACGATGTTTAAGAAAAAGAGTAAACGTTTTAAAACAAAATACTGGGTCCATCTTTTCAAATCGGATCGAGAGCGTAACGCGGTTTAAAATTTGCCGTGTCTTGCTGTGCCTTGTCACACGAGTTCAATTCTTTTCGGTGACTCTCGCCTACTTTTATCAGGGGGCCATTCGCCTAACGTGAATGGTTTGGAAAAGGCTAACGCTTACGATTTCATTTTGTAATTTCTAGTCTCCTGAGGTTTTCAAATGCCTCGCGCTCTTTTTTTTTTCTTTTACATTGGTAATAACAATATTAAAAAAAAAATAGCGTGAGGTATTTTAAAAACTTCGGCGATCAGAAATAACAAAATATAATCGACAGCGTTAGCGTTTTCCAAAGCATTTCCGGTAGGCGAATGGCCCCCCGGTCTCTCAATGTCTTTGGTTGTTGGGGGGACTTTTTGTACGCGGAATTTTTAAAACTTCGTGTGCGTTAGCACGATGCATTTTTAAGCGATTTATTTGGCGGACATTCGCCTTCGTCCGCGCAGGCTTTGATTGTGTCAGACTAAGTCAGATCGAAATATTAACACAAGTATTATGTACTTTGGTTGTCAAATGAGAAAGCAATACTCTACCTGAATGTTGCGTACAGATTGCGCTATACTATATATATAGCTTTACATAGAAGCTAGTTAAAAAACCACGCCATACTGTATTGTACGGGCTTGCTATTGGCGATATATTAAATAGCACAATAGTATAGCGTAGTCTGAACGCATCTTTTAAACTAGTTAATATTTTGGCGGCACATTCATTCTAGAGCGCTTAGCACTGCCATCACTACAAGAAAAAACTGAACGCCTAAATCACACTAATATTATAAAGGCGAAAGTTAGTGTGTGAGTGTGTTTGTTTATTACTTCTTCACGTCTAAAAGGCTGGAGCGATTTTAATAAAATTTGGTATGGAGTTAGCTGACACACTGGATTAACACATAGGCTACGTTTTACTGCGGGAAAATATTCCTAATAAACCGCAGGTAACACCACGGGGCACAGCTAGTTAATAATAAACAAAGATAAAATTGTCAATGGCTAAAGTCACGTACGTAGATAAGCCGAGATCAATAGCAACACAAGGCCAGTGCCAGCAAAAGTGTGTAAGGCGGTCGTTGATAAGGCAAATATAGAGCACGTGTGTATTACGATGATCTCTGTAAGGTACATTGTACGCACACTCAACCTTTCGCCTTACTCTTGAAACTAGTTGTCATCTATTTTGTAACTCATCAGTATCACACACTTGGGAGGAAAACCTATTTTATATATAGGGGGCATGGGAGCTGACGGCTCACCTGGATATATTGCACCTGGGGGCCAATCGCCTAACAGGATTGCTAAGGCTATCGCTTACGTTTCTATTTTGTTATTTCTAACCGTGGAAGGTTTTCAAATGTCCTTTTTTTTTCTTTTGTATTGGTAACAACAATATCAAAGAAAATGAGCGTAAGGTATTTGAAAACCTTCGGCGGTCAAAAATAACAATATAATATCGTAAGCTATAGCGATAGCTATAGCAATTATATTAGGCGATTGACCCCCTGATGGTAAGTGATCACCGTCGCCCATAGATACTTGCAACACCAGGAGTATCACAAATGCGATGCCGGCCTTTAAGGAAGGAATACGCTCTGTTTTTGAAGGTTTTGAGGTCGTATTGGTCCAGAAACACTGCTGGTGACAATGTATTGCACAGTTTTGTCGTAATTGGTAAAAATTTCGACAAAATCGCAAGGTTGTGGATAACCACACATCAAGATGGTGGGGATTATTTTTTTGTCGCGATGTATATACGATAGCGAAACGCAGCAGCTGGTATTATTCCGAACAATTCCTCAGAACACTCCCCGTTATAAATGGGATAGAAGATGCAGAGGAAGCTACTACATCTCTACAGAAAGCCAAAGGATCAAGCTTATCGGAAAGGTTCTGGTCGTCGATAATTCGAGCAGCTCGCGCTGGATGAGATCCAGAGGGAGAAGCTGATATTGGGATGCCCCCCCCCAAAGATGTTATCTCATTATTATGCAACTACAAACCAAAATTTTATTCAATATGAAAAATTTCAAAGAGAATAACTTTTTACAATCAATCTTGATGACACAGTGAATAATGGGCTCATATGATATACAGTTTTGAAGTTAAGCAAAAAAAAAAGCTTTGGAAAGCAGGTACAATCATTCCAGAGGATTTTGCAGTCATTAGCACCCCTCTCAACAATAGGCAATGGTATAGTGGATATTGACTCTTTCCCTATTTCATTCTCCACGAAGGTGTGTGATCCTGCAGTGGGGATTTTAATAGGCTATAGTCAATATTTTACGTTTAAAGTATTTATCTAACAAGTACCAAAGTTATCTCAATGAATAAATTTCTGAAGTCCGTATAGCAAGTCAAGATGACTTAGGCAGGACTTTGTTAAAAATTTATAGGATAAAGCGCTCACCGGAATAATATCTCCGTTCTCATCAGTCCTGTCTTGTTTGGAAACTAATGGCTCAACCTGAAGCTGCGAGTTCTCATTGAACACTACAGCCACCTCACCATTCTTGTCCAAAAACTCAATCTTGAGAGGATCGGCGGTGATCACCACCCTGTGGCCTTTTGTGTTCTCCAGTGTTAACTTGCCATCTTTCTTAGATACCTCCTTCAAACTAAAATAAGAAGGTTTTATAAACAAAACACAATTTTCTTTTGATGCAACTACATAGATTACTCTACCTAATTCCAACCTCTGATCATAACACAAGCTTTACAATGCTTAGTTTAAGGCTAGGCTAATTGAGTATAAGCGAAATGTTTATTGATTTATTAAAAAATAATATGACTCGTCTCATCTATTTTTTTAATTGTAATTGTTTAGATCCACATTGACTGTAATGTGTTTATCATGTGTGCATACAAGCAAGAACCCTTACATTCCTTTTTGTAGCAACCATGTAAATATCATAAAAACTTACAAAAGTGACAAGCAAAATTTCATAAAGAAACATATAAACATACTTATCAGCAATTGGAGTGTCTTTCAAAGCCAGTAGTGTGATGTAGCGAGGGTACAAAGGATTGACCTCCTCCATCTCCACTCTGAATGTACTGTCCATCAGGGCTGACACTTTGAGGACATAACGGAACTGGAAAAAAATGCATTTTTCAAAACAATAAATTTTACTTGTTAGTAATTAATTTACTTGTTTTTACTTGTTACTAAATGATGTTCTCCATCAGTATGCGTGTTATGTCACAATTATTTGGCTTTATTCCAACTCTCAGTACATATTATTAGATAAATTTCAATAACAGACCATAAACTCACCAGCACTGTCTTTTTTTCAGATTCTGTGTCCACAGTGTTGACGTCAAGAAATAGCATGTTGTCGTGTAGCATTTGGGTGCTAAAATCGGCGACATACTGTGATCTTTCAGGCTTGAAGGCTCTCAGGCGTTTACAAAAGCCAGATTGGTCGCAAGTCTTAAAGTTGTTCCTGTCGACGCCGTAACTGCCGCTGATCGCGAGTAAAGCGACCAACAGAAGATACAAGGACCTCATCCTGACAAACTGTGCACGTAAATATTTAGAGAAAACATTCTAAAGAACAAAGAATACCGGTATCAACGGATAACCATTGCAATGTGGTATTTTAAAACCTTACCTGGCCTGGATGTGAGTTTATTGTTGAATAAAACGTACGCAACGACACAACTTAACAAGATTCCATTTCAATAGATATTAAAAAAAGAGGAAGATAACTTTACAAATCAAAATTTAATTCTCACACTGCTGAATTCGATGGCTGGAATATCCACCACAGACTATACCAACATTACCAACTAAAAGACTTGATGAGAAACCAACAACTTTTTACAAAATTGGAAGTTAAAATGAATTAAAGCGTATTTTATTATAGTCTTTATCATTATGTGTTATAGAGTTTAAGATGGTTTGCCGAAGCCATGCCATTTAGTGACTCCTGATGCCTCTATGACGTGGAGAAATTTGTTTGGCACTGTTTTTGACACCTGTTTGACATTTCCTAGTGCATTACGTTATACCGGCACTTCACTTGGCTATTGCTATTTGTAAACTTGTATGTTATGCTAGCGTACACGGTACACCATATCAAGTTCGAGGTTGTTACTTACACGATTAGATAGTGCGTAATTTTAGAAGTTATTACTTAGTTAAACTTCACATCAGTCTTTCCTTTTCATTCCTTATAAAACATGATAAGGACAGACTGTTGTCAAGTTTGAATTGTGAATAGCCGAGCTAAACATGGTTTTTATCCTCTTTGGCCAATGAAGTGCCGGCCAATCGGCACTACATCTGTGGAAAAAATGTCATTTTTTCGACAACCGGTCGAGTCTATTTCCAACAAATTAAATAATTTGAACATTAGAAAACTTAATTTTTCATTGGTAAAAATGACTACTCAATCAAAGTGGAAAGTAGAGAAAAACAAGATCTTGAATATGCCTTTGGAAGAGAAGAGGAAAATATACAGAAACAGTGATTTTATCGTACTAGATAGAGTTGATCCTTGGTCAAAGTTTTTTAGTAAAAACGAAAAAGAAATTGAGAATTTCAAGCATACCCTGGACGATCTGACTGAATTTCAAAAGATTAAATTGGATTCTTCCAAGAATAAAGAGCTTGCAGACAGAATATCCATTTTTCAAGGGGATATCACCAAACTCGAAGTAAGTCGTCTTTTTAGTGAAATATAAAAGAAATGAAAAACTCCAAATAAAAGCTGGAGGTATATTTGAAATGACTCAGCTTTCCATTAGTTGTGGTTTAGTAGCGAACTGAGATTTTTGTCACGGAAAGTATTAATTATTACAGTGATGCTTGTGACTTTGTCACGCAAAGGGGAAGAGGCTGCTATTCCCACAGCACCGGAGATAAGGCAGCAGTACTGGCTATTACTTCTCTAGTTGCATTCTAAAAAAATAATGAGCTTTTTGGTTAGGTTAATTAAAAAAAAAACATGCATTTCCGTCTAAAACTATAGTAGGGGTAATCGGAGAGACCCCTCCCCCACATCAAAATTACCCTGAAATCCCACCACAACTAATTTAGTACCTTTGAAATTGGTAACTTGAATTATTATTTGGGGAAGACAGAACAGGATCCTCTATCCTGATACTAACTCCCCTGCTGCAGTAATGAATGAATGAAACATAGTGGGATTTAAAATAAAACAACTAATGTTAAATTTATATTTGTTTTCTGTAAGAATATTCTTAATAATTTTTAACATTTTTCTAATAGATAGATGCCATTGTTAATGCAGCAAACTCCAGATTAGTAGCTGGTGGAGGTGTAGATGGGGCTATACACCGTGCCGCAGGTTCATTGCTTCAGGTATTTATATTTAAAGTTAATTATTTTTGGTGTGGGCTTCTGTTTAAGATTGCTTTTTTTAGCCATCAGGAACAGTTAGAAGGAGGTAACTAAATTAATATGTATAATTTATGCTTGAGAATTTATATTGACATAAAATTTTTGACTTATTATACAACAATAGATATGGATTATATTTAGGTATATAATAATTATAACAATTAATAAATACTTTATGAGAATTGCCAATAGAACATGTTATTAATTACTAAAAATTAAGTTAAATCAGTTACTAAATAAATGATTTTCTTCCTGTTTCTGTTCTTAGGAGGAATGCAACTCATTGCGTGGCTGCCCTACTGGAGATGCTAAGGTCACTGGTGGCTACAACTTGCCTTCAAAATGTGAGTTTGTAATTTCATTTAAATAATTCAATGGCCCTGATTCTTGCATGATTTTCTAGATCTTAAACTGAATTTGACAATAGTGCATCCTTACTATGCTCTATGGCTTATGCATAGGAGAAACTAGTATTTAGTTTTAAGATATAGATAATCATGACAGAAACATGCCCAGCTTTTGCATTTTTGTCTTAAATACATGAGTGGTTACCATGAGCGGGCTCATTGATTAATTTAATGTTAGATAGTTACAATAAGGGGTTTTCTGGAATGACAGGCGCTAGGTGGCAGCACTGAGACAATAGTTCAACTCATTTTTCAAATCACATATGACATCAAAGTCTGTGGATTAAAATGCTAGTTTCATTAATTCATGTCACAAACTTCATACGAAAGACCCCATGAGGTCTCTGATATGTCACAGTGACTCCAACTGATGACTTTAAATTTTCTTAAACACCCTCATTTGTAACTTAAAAAACACTTTTCTTTTTGTTGCAGATGTCATTCATACTGTTGGCCCACAAGATGGTTCCGCTAAAGCATTACAATCATGTTATGAAAAGTGTTTGCAGTACCAGCAAGAGTATCGCATTAAGTCCATTGCTTTCCCATGCATTAGTACAGGCATCTACGGGTTCCCAAATAGATTAGCAGCTCACATTGCATTGAGAACAGCCAGAAAGTTTCTAGAAACTAATGAGGATATGGAAAGAATTATCTTTTGCACATTTATGCCTGTTGATGTTGATATTTATAAGACTCTTTTGCAAATGTATTTTCCTATACACGCTTCTAATTATAATGATGGAGCTTCTGTTTCTGAATAATGAAGTTCCTTTTGCTTTTTTTTATCTTTGTGATCATGGCGCGTAATTTTGCCTATGTCGATCACTGATTAAAGATCTGAGCAACAGATCTATGGTTAATTTTTGTTTTTACTGTTGGATTTGTAAGTTCTTCTTTATTGCAACTGTTAACTTTCTTTTTTATATGATTCTAATCAAATTATAATCTAAGCATTGATAAATAAATGATCTTTTTACAAAACATTTTTTTTTATATATATCCAGGTAGGCAAATGACTATCTCACCTGATGTTAAGTGGTGATAAAGTCTAAACGCGAAGATAGCTGATACAGTAGTTATTAACTGCTCAACCAACCATCCTCACCGGTAAGGCCTGCTAAAATGCTTCTTCATGCCTCTCATAAAGGACCTCAGATTGTTAGTACAGTCAATCTGTAGGTTGAGTGGTGAAAAAAAAACCTAAAGGGTAAGTCTTGTTTTTTCTGTTGCCAAATGACGTCAGTAAGCCACCTTGGCGATGGGCATGTTCAACTCGTAGGCGTTTTTTGAAAAACTCAAAAAAACCGTCAAAAATTTTTTGAAACGCACTTTTCTTGTTTTGTATGCATTTTAGAAACTTTTTTTTTTACCATAATTGTAGACGGCGTTGAGTACTACAATTTATGTCATTGTTGCAATCTCGTACAACAAAAAATGCGCATTGTAGGTGGCGCTAAAGTCTCAAAAAAGTGTTTTTTTACTTTTTCACCCTGAAAATATCATTTTAATGGAAAACTTTAAATGGCAAAGTTGTTTCGTACATAATTACCAACAACTTTTGTATAAACATTTTTACCGTTTTCAAGTTATAAATTGCTTCATGATTGAAAAACAATAAAAAATAAAAAAAAAATTGTTTTATTTTTATTTTTTTTCATGATTGAAAAAAAAATAGTAATAGAAAACTGAAACGATATTTTTTTCGACAGATTGACTGTACTATGTAGGAAAAAGGGAACACGTGCGTGGACAAAGAATTCCACTTACGAATAGTACGACAAAGAAATGAGACACGAAATTTGTTTGTTTGTGTAGGAATAGTAACCACAATAAGTCGGTGGCAATGGTCGGCAACGTAGGCCAGCGCGCGTGGTCCTCTGAAGCAAAGGTGATTAAGGGATAAGGGAGAATAACTCTTCAGAACACTCGCCGTGGTATAGTTGGTAGAATGCGCTTAATGATGCCACATCGAGGCGGTAATTGTGGGTGGTGCTCTCGTCCAACTCGAGGAGACGGATGTAGCACCAGATCTAGTCTTCCAACCGCTCAGACAAAAGCCCAGAGTCCAGGAGTCGGGCTGCCATCGCAACGTCCAATTCATATTGGACGCATGACGACTTTAGCCCAAACACCCCGGTTCCGTAGTGCGTGATGTACGCAGCGTCTTCGTCGATCGCAGTCGACGCTGGCACTGGGTGGCGCCAGGCAGTCTCACGGAAGCAGAAACTTACAAGTTTATATGCGGAGAGCTTGCGAGGTGCGTAGGATCCGTGCGCGGCGGCGTAGTTGCGGTCCACGAACGTTCTTGTGAGACCAAACAGCCAATGGATGGATTAACACTTCAGAATCAAAAACAATAATTCCCAAAACTTATGCTGTCGAACATCATATTAAAGTATAACACTGAAACTTTAAATTATTTACACAAAGGTATAAAAAGGATAGTATTGCTAAGACTATGAAAAGAATTTAGATAAAAAAAATATCAAGTGCTTCAAATCTTTGTTTGCATCGAGAACATTTTCGTGCTATGATTTTTTAACGATTTTTAAATGTGGCTTAATACCTGATAAGTCATTTGTTCAATTTAGAACTGCTTTTATGGACGAAGAACCTTCAAAAGCAACCATCTACCGCTGGTGTAGCGAGTTCAAACGCGGTCGTCTTACTTTGGGGGATGAACAAAGGAGTGGTCGTCCTACGACGGCTGTCACCGAAGAAAGGGTGCTGGCAGCAAAAAAAAATTCAATTAAACAGACGAATTACGTACGAATAAATTCAGCATACTCTGCAGATTGGTTCGGGAAGTGTTCACAAGATTTTGAACGAGCACCTTTGCGTAAGGAGGATAGTTTCCCGCTGGGTGCCGCACAAACTCACCGAAGGAGGCCCGTGTGGATTGGTGTAGTGATATGATTAGCTTAAGCGCTGCCACATCCCAACGGGTTCGAAGACACCCGCCGATTGTGGTCAAGCAGCTGCAGGACTGGCCGAAACACTTGCGCGCCATCCACCAGAAGCTAGGACGACCACCCAGCGTACGCCCGCTTGGCACGGTCGTGCGATTAACGCCTCAAGATGCGAGAGCCGTCTCGTCCAGGCCTACCTCTTCGGATTGGAGGGCCAGGCCGCCTGAGTTGGTACTCGCACGCCAGCCCCGAGGACCGCAGCCTAAAGGTGTGATACGAGGGCTACCCCTAGACACCTCGCCGCTCGACATCACAGAGGCCCTCGCTGAGAAAGGCTTCACAGTTGAATGTGCCAAACAGATCCGGGCGCGAGCAGGCCGCCCCGGTAACCTGTACTTCGCAGCACTCCGCCGGACCGCAGACATTATTCCGGCCATCTACACAGTGAGTGATCTCCTGAGTATGTCCGGGACCCAAATTGAAGCCTGGAGAGGGAGTGAGGCCCCCGCGCAGTGCCACCGCTTCCAGGGGTTCCGCCACTCCAGCCGCCAACAACGCGTGCCCCGCGCTCCAACGCGAGGTGCGCAATAGACGCGCCACAACAGTGGCCCGCACAGGCCGCCCACCCACCGATCCAGTCCAGCAGCCCACCGAGGTGAGCAAGCGCGCGCCGGCCACACTGATGGCCCCGCGAACGCTCCTCCCTCGCCCACCAACCACCCAAACCCGCCGGAGAAAGACCTGTCGAGCGAGCAAAACACCGCCGACGGACGCCCCCTTCAACGCCCTGCCCAGTGACGACACCGCCACGGCACAAGACCCGCCACCGCCCTCCCAAGAAGCAAAAACCCGCCTGCTGTTACACATCTCGGACCTGCTCACGGACTTTGTTAAAAGTTCGGGCAAGCTGAATAACCGAATTTCGCGCCCACCTCCGGTCAAGACACTACCCCCGCCCGCTCACTGGGCCTCCCTCATGGGTCTCGCCCGGTGGGCTTGACCGCGCCGAGGGCGACGTGTGAAGAAACGGAGGGGGTTGCGACCCCAACGACCGTCTCGTTCGTCAACGAGACGCGCACCCGAGACGTCTGAAGTGGGCAAACCCGCCTAGAACAGATTCCCCGCACGCCGCGGTGACGCGCGAGATGAAGAAACAGTAAGAAAGTTCGTAAGTGTCGCATTCTATGTATTTGGTACAGTCTCAATCCAGCACGGGAGTTAGCTCAGTGAAATACGTGGATTTAAGTATCACGTGAGAACCACTTATCTCATTCTGATTTCTTGTAAGAATAAGACAAAATGCCTTCTTTCTAACTTTTTCACTCTTCGCATCTTACAACGTAAAATTCACTTTATGCTGGCACTTTACTTGATTATTCTTGTTTGCTATTTGTAAACTTGATAAATGTCTTGATTTCATTATAATGTTATCGATTCTGGCATGATTTTCTAAACTTAAACTTAAATTTTACAACAGTGTATCCTTGTCATTCGCTATACAGAATGAAAAGCGAAGACTGATATTTTAATGAGTTTTAAGCTTAGAGAATTATGCCAGAATCGACACCATTATAGCCTTAGTGGGGAGGGTTAAAACAGCATGTTTATTGCTGGCCTAAGTATTTTTTTGTATTCTCCCTGAAGGCAGATGAAACGTAACCCTTAAGCTTTGTTTTTAATTTTTGAAATGTCAATTATATGTACTGGGTACTGGAACAACGAACCAGTAAAACGGAACGAAGAAGTATTTGTTGTTATTTTTATTTTGTTGTCTAGTTCTTAGTATCAAATCTTGAAAAATGTTATTTCGGTGTAACCATTACGTAGTATCAACTCGTAAATCGTATCCTCGATTTGTCAGTAGTTCCGCTCGAACTCGGATCATAATAACAGAGAATTTATCTGCAGCCGCTTATAAACCAGAAAATGTACAAAAAGATAAATACGCAAAATGGCAACAGAAAGGATTATTTCAGGCTGCTGTTCCTAGTGATAAACCGCCGTTTAGCATGGTGCTTCCACCTCCAAATGTTACAGGAAAATTACATTTAGGTAACCTAACCTTCAAGATTATTTTTTATTTCATGTTTAAATTTGTAAAGTAACTATTATTATGCTGTTCAATTGTCTCTAAAGTCCTTTAATTATTTCCTATATTTTTTTTAATTGACAGGCCATGCTTTAGCTTGTACAGTTCAAGATGTGATTGTGAGAAGAAAAAGATCTTTAGGTTACAATGTGCTTTGGTTACCTGGCACTGATCATGCAGGAATCGCTACTCAGGTTGGTTATTCTCTACTCTATTTCTGATCATTATCATTTTAAATCTGGAAAGTATTTTATACTTTACTAGTGGGTGCCCCGACTTAGTCTACATGCAACAATTTATTTCCTATACAAACCTACCTTTTTCAGCCCCTTAAATGGGGATATTATAGGAAAAAAGCTATACTTTTCCTACCCTAACCTAAACCTTTCCCAGGACTCGAAACTATCTCAATACTACATTTCATCTTAATCAGATTATAGCGGTTTAAGCATGAAGAGGTAACAGACAGATGGAAAGAAGATGAATATGCACAATAGACCATTTGGTCCTCTTGATGGTAAAAGGCCAACATAGTCTAGACAAAAGTATCACTTGCACATTGTCTACCCTGGCACTGAGGAGCATTGGGTATCTTTCATGAACTGTAAATGAGTAAATGTCTACTGTAAGATGTAGGTTATTTCTCCCATTATATTTCCACTTCAGTACTAACAGAAAATTTGCTATGCTATACTTTTCTGAAGTCACTCATTTTACTCTGTTCATAGAAATGCGTTAGTGGAATGCCTTCTTTATAACACTATCACTTATGATAGAAACAGGGCTCCATTTTAGAGGTGCATGGGCCAAGGGGCAATGAAGGAGTGGAGGCCCCTTAATTTCGGCCAGACAACTTACGACGCACCTCCACCCCTGCTTTAGTGACTTGTCGAAGGTGGTTTCTTTTTTTCTCTAATGTTGGCGCCTGGGCCACAGCCTCACCTGCCCTAAATCAGGCCCTGTATATAAGGATGTAAAAATCCATTACATGAGAATAGGGCCTGTCATTTGCTGGAGTGACAAGAACACTTCCCTAGCATTGTTACTCTGGCCACTGATAGAAATGTTGGTACTATCTCTTATGGAAAGAGTGTAGGAATTTCAATATTCAGCCTCATGGGTCCTTACAGACACCCTATAAGAGGCTCAGGTCTAGGAAATTTTATAAGAATTGCATTAACCAAGTAGGACTTTGCAGCAAGTGTTTAATTTGTCCATTTAATAGGGAATCGGCACCACCAGACATTTTTGTTTTTCGGCTTTGCATTCTGGGAGCTATCTAACAATAATTAATAATTTCATATGTTATCCCATGTGTGTCAAAATGTAGCAAATTTTAATTCCTATCCATTGATATTAAAAACCCTAGATAATGTGCTCAAAATGTGTCCCAATTAAGAAGTGCTTAAACACTGCTAAAGCACTCCTTGGTTCACAGTCACTCCTGAACTCTCCCCCCCCTAGCATGAGCACCGCGATATGATATATAACGCGTTTTTATCACGCTCAATTGTCAAATTTCTAGGGAGTTTGACAGTTGGACGCGATTAAAACTGTGCTATAATGTAAATTGTGATGCTCATGCTATGGGGACTGGACAGTTGAAAAGCCAAAAGCCGCAGAGCTTTTTGAAAAAGGGACTTATTGGTATATAGAGTGCTGTTTTTTGACACGGATCAAAATAATGTTTGTTAATTTAACACATTTACAGCAAATTTTCTTCTAACACTTACTATAAACTCATTTAATCCTATTAATATTATAAATGTGAAAGTTTTCAGCCTTGTTACTCAATCATGCACAAACGTCTGAATGCATTTTAATGAAATAGTCTATTACTTGGATTAAGAAATAGGATACTTTATTCCGAAAAAAATTTAGGTTCTTATGGCATTCTCAAACAACTAAGCGCAGACGGAGTTGCGGGCGGCAGCTAGTAGAAAATATTTTTAATTTAACCAAATGCATGGTTGGTTATGAAGTCGTCTCTGTTCCTCGTGCTCCATGCCTTTTATCGCTAACAGCACATTCAGAATGACGATAGAAAAGAAATAAAATTCATATTCTTCCGCCTATGGCCTAGCTAGGGTTACCAGCTTTTTTTCTACCAATTATAGTATTTTCGAAGCTGTTCCTCTCCTACCTTTATAAATATAGTAGATGGCAAAAAGATGGAGAAAAATATAGTATGCGGTTAATAAATCTACTTTATTTTCAAAATGAATATATTTTTGCTCTTCCATGTCTTTGTATTTTTTTTTTTCATTTCTAAGAACGCTTTTACGGGCAAAAATATGCTTTAAGCAAAATATAGGAGTTTCGCCTACTATATTTTTTTTTAGAAATATAGTGATGTCGATTCTGGCATGATTCTCTTAACCTAAACTTAAATTTGACAACAGTGTATCCTTGTCATTTTCTATACAGTATGAAAAGGAGAGACTGATATTAAATTTAGCTTTAAGTTTAAAGGATCACGCCAGAATCGACTCCACTATATTATAAAGAAGGGTTGGCAACCCTAGGCGTAGCGCACATCAGGGAGAGGTGCGTCGAAGATACTGCGCGGGGCGACTCCGAGTGCGGCCTAGAACCGCGGGCTAACCTTAGATTAAAACAAAAAGGGTAGATACGGCACTAGCCTCACAAAAGTGATCCGCATGAATTGTGGTCCACGACCCTAATCACTTTAGTCACAACTTGGCATGCAAACGACGTACATGTGAACGCCAAAAAGAAATATTGCTAATATTTTGTGTTTCTATGATAAAACAAGGCATGTGTGTTTTTAAAAAGTGCTCAAATTGCTCAAGAACTAAAAATAAAACTCACGGCATCACTTTTCATTCGTAAGTACTATAAATTATATATTTTTTCATAAAAATTGCTGTTTGTTTTGAATCTTATTCGGTAGTGACGTTGAGTACTGGTCGCGTGATTGGTCGGTAGTGCAGTGACACGGATCTCGCCGTCTCGTTCTCGCTGCCGTTGAAACTTAACATGCTGTTTCGTTCGGGTCGGTAATGCAGTGACGCGGATCTCGCCGTCCCGTTCGCGCTGCCGTGGGATCAGTTTTTGTTTGATGCAAGTATGAGCGTACCGTTTTTGTTTTAATCTAAGGGGCTAACAGCGACTTTGAGATCGGCCAAGAGCCACGGAATGATGTAGCCGCGCGCCGGCTCACAGCGCTGTGCGCCGCTTGCTCCTTTCCATGTTTGCCATGATTTTTTTTAACTTAATATATAGGAATTTGGGTTTAACTTGATTGTTGACTTCTCTATATTCTCGTCGCGCCTGTCGTGGTGTGCGCTGTCGGTCGGCGCGTTGGAATTTTTTTACGAGCTTACATTTAGAACTGTCTTAACGTATGCTTGCATAACTATTTGATGTATGCGTTTAAATTAAGACCTGAAGAAGAATATGTCTTCATTATTATGGTGACTTAAAGTATTTTTATATGCCTTATATTTTTTACCATCCGATCATTCCATGGATCGATCAATGTATATTTCGGACAGTTATTGACCACGATTTTGTTCGCGATGTTGTATCTAGATTTTTAATATCGTTGCTCCTCCTACAGGTTATTTATATTTTTACAGGGTGTTGTGGAAAAATATTTACAAAGTAAAAACAATGTGGACCGCATATCGATCGGACGAGAGAAGTTCATTAATGAAGTTTGGAAATGGAAGGAAAAACATGGTGACACTATTACTGAACAACTCAAGCTGTTAGGGTGTTCATTGGATTGGTCTCGGCAAATGTTTACCATGGACCCCAAGCACACTCATGCTGTAAACGCAGCTTTCATAAAATTATTTGAAAATGGTCTCATATATAGGAAGAAGGCTTTAGTTAATTGGTGTAATAAATTAAAATCAACAGTGTCTGATATTGAAGTGGAAAATATGCCTATTAAAGGTCCCACCCAAGTAGCAGTGTATGGATATGATAGAACTGTTATGTTTGGGCAGTTATTCAACTTTGCTTATAAAATATATGGTAGTGATGAGGAAGTTGTAGTCTCTACTACAATGCCTGAGACTATGCTGGGCGATACTGCTATAGCAGTACATCCAGAAGACGAAAGGTAACCTAATGTAAATTTAAAGTATGCTTCATAATTGCATTTGTAAACATAACGTGACATTACACTCTTATAAAGGATTTTATGTTTTTGCCAAGTGCTAATTAAATTTAAAATGCACTTTTAAAACTGTGTAACATCCTCCATAATATCCATAATCCTTTTTTGTAATTCCAGGTACAAACATCTTGTAGGTAAGAGAGCTATACATCCGTTTAGAAATGACACCATACCCATTATAGCTGATGACTTTGTTGATATCAAGTTTGGCACAGGTGCTGTTAAAATTACACCTGCTCATAATAAAACAGATTATAATATCGCCAAAAAACACCATTTACCTCTTCTACAAGTTGTAGGAGAGGATGGTCTTATGCTTAATACAGAAAACTATGACACCACGAAGAAATATGACTGTAGAGATATAGTTGTTCAAGATTTGCAAAGACACGGGCTTCTAAAGAGCGTTGTGCCACACGAAATGACTTTACCAGTATGCAGTCGCACTGGTGATGTCATTGAATACTTACCAAAGGAACAGTGGTTTCTTTCTTGTACTCAGATGAATCGAAGGGCTTCAGAATTTGTAAAATCGGGGAAAATAAAATTAGAACCTGAGAAATTTATGAAAAACTGGGAAAATTGGACAAGTGACGATAGGGATTGGTGCGTATCACGACAGCTGTGGTGGGGGCATCAAATACCAGCTTATAAATGCACGACTGAACAAAATATCGTTTGGATCGCGGCTAAAGATGAAGTGTCGGCAAAGTTGAAATCATCAAAATATTTACGAACTCTTCCTGATGACATTAAAGCTGAAAGGGACACAGACGTTTTGGATACTTGGTTTTCATCAGGGATATATCCCTTTGCGGCTTTAGGTTGGCCTGACCATTACTACAATCAAGAGTACAAAGAATTTTACCCTCTAGATCTAATGGCGACAGGCCATGATATTCTCGGATTTTGGGTGCATAGAATGGTGATCCTCGGATTGGAGTTGACAGGAAAGATTCCCTTTTACAATGTTCTGCTACACGGGATAATATGTGATAGTAAAGGAAGAAAAATGTCTAAGAGCAGGGGCAACGTAATCGACCCTGTCGATGTAATTAATGGTATATCGATAGAAAAACTCAAAGAAAAGGCTGAAGAAATGCATAGAGCTGGTGTACTTAGTAAAGATGAACTGAAAAAAGCTCTCGTGTACCATAAAACGAACTACAGTCATACAAATGGCATACCTGAATGTGGAGTGGACGCATTAAGATTCACACTTCTTACACAAGACATTAAGTCTCATTTTGTTAATTTCGATGTTCATATGTGTCACGCTAATAAACTGTTCTGTAACAAGATATGGCAGAGTATTAAATACACTCAGTTATCATTTGCAAAATTAAAAGAAGTAGAAGATGTGACTATTGAAGATCTTACATTCTTCGACAAATGGATACTTAGTAGGCTAGCAGATATGGTAGCGAAATTCAACCAGGCGATGGAAGAATACGATTTCCATTTGGCTACCAAAGCCATCAGAACTTTGATTTACAATGAATTTTGTGATGTTTATTTAGAGGCTACGAAACCTGGATTTGAAAGCGGGAATGCCAAGTTAGGATATGCCCATGCGCACACACTTTCAGCTGTCCTAAACACTTCACTAAGATGCTTATCACCATTCATGATATATTTAACAGACGAAGTCATACCGAAAATTCCCTCATTTGAACGTAACATTATAATCAATTTCGAAGATCATAAGAACTCTTATTTCGATCTTCCCAAGACGGATGAATTTGAAATTTGGAAAAATAGCGATCTCGAGTTGCACGTTGGGAAACTCTTGAATACAGTCAATCTAGTCAGAGAATTGAAAGGTTTTTATGGTATATCTAATAAACTAAGACCGTCAATCCAAGTGACCACTGAAGACAAAATACTCGAGAGAGATTTGAAATGCAATGAAAATGTGGTTTTAAATTTCACCAGGTGTAAACTTTTAACATTTGATAAAGATTCGTTAAAAAATTGTGTAACCGGTATTTTAGATAAGAGTACTGAAGTTAGTGTGGAAATCATAGGTGAAGATGTAGAAAGTACAATATCAGACGCTAAAGATAGGTTAAATATGAAAATCAAGAAATTAGAAGAGAGCATAGCACAATTAGAAACGAAACTTTTAAACAAACAACATTTACAGAGTGTATCTGAATCGACCAGAATATTGGACGACGAAAAATTGCAATCAAAAAAGAATGAATTGAATCAACTTAGAAGACTGACTTAGGTTTAAGATAAGAATACTAAAGTTAGTGTGTATTCTAAGGCCGTATACAGAAAGAAAGCCGAAAGCCGATCGGCGCCGATCCTTTTTCTGTGGACCAGCGCCGATCAGCGCCGATAAGCACCGACACGCGCTGGTCCGAATAATAAATAATTTGTATTTGAATTATTATCCTTAGATTAAATCAATCTAAGTTATAATCTTTTTATAAATCTAATAACTTTAACTAAGCGCTAAAATTATTTGTTTCGTACTTACCGAATGGTGACAACAAGTCTTTCTTCTGGAAGGATTGGTTGTTTATGCCAATTACACCAATTTTTCATCAAACGGTTTTTCACTAAATCCAAAATGTAATAAAATGTTTCTTGAGTCATTCTTGTATATGTATAAAATCTTTGATCATCAAATTTATTTTTTTTTACAAATAAATGATGGTATTTTCCGAAACGTTTTCTTTCTCTATTTATAGGATGTATAGCTTTTTTCGCATTTTTAAATACACATTTTCTAACAAAACCAAATCATCGTCCGATGAGTCCGACATTTTGCTTGATCTGCTTTAATCGGCTTCCATTATGTATTACGCCGATCGGCTTTCGGCTTTCTTTCTGTATACGGCCTAAGAACACAGATTTGATTAAATGTAGTCATGTGATATGTACCTATGGTACGAGTAATATACATATGTATGTATATATATATATATATATATATATATATATATATGCAGAGAATTTTATTTCATCATAAGATATGTACTCTTATGTACACAGTCAAGTCATAAGAATTTTCACGCAGTAAAAAATTTCTTTTAGAATGCTGGCCACAAAAAAGTTATTGAATTCGAATTTAGAACTGTTCATGAAAATAAAAATGTATACTTTTTAGAATTGTACTCATTTTTAAATATGGAGTGGACGCTTAAAGAAGACCGTGTTGCAGTTATTGCGTTGCATCGTTGCGGTTACGCGCCAATTTAAATTTTTGACATACTGAATAATTTGAATATAACCAAAAGATTCGTTTATCGTACCATCAAACGATACAATGAAGACTTTAGTGTAGATGACAGGTCAAGAAGTGATCGCCCTCAGTCTGTTAGGACTCCAGCAGTGATAAAACCTGTGAAGGCGCGAATTCAAAGAAATCCCAAACGTAAGCAGAAACTGTTGGCCCTTCAGATGGGGTTAAGCAGAACCACGGTGAAAAGGGTGTTAAATGAAGACTTAGGGCTTCGGGCATATCGAACAAAAACAGGACATCGTTTGAATGTTCGTCTAATGGACCCGAGACTGAAGAGATGCCGCGCTTTGTTGAAGCGGTGCGTGGGAAAAGAAAATGGGGAAATTATTTTTCGGATGAAAAAATTTTTAACGTAGAAGAGAGCTACAACAAACAAAACACTTACACACAGTAGTGACGAAGCGAGCAACCGTATTCCGCGTGTCTAATAAGGTCATTTTCCATCCTCGCTCATGGTATGGTGGGGAGTTTCTTATTGGGGCTTAACAGAGGTACATATTTGTGAGAAAGGTGTAAAAACGAATGCAGTTGTGTATCAAAGTATAGTCTTGACGAACCTAGTGGAAGTTGTTTCTCATACCATGTTCAATAACAGGCACTAGGTATTCCAACAAGATTCGGCGCCAGCTCATAGACCGGAGAGCACACAATACTGGCTGGCGGCGCGTGAAATCGACTTCATCCGGCACGAAGACTGGCCCTCCTCCAGTCCAGATTTAAGTCCGTTAGATTACAAGATATGGCAACACTTGGAGGAAAAGGCGTGCTCAAAGCCTCATCCCAATTTGGAGTCACCCAAGACATCCTTCATTAGGGCAGCCGCCGATATTGACATGGACCTCGTTCGTGCTGCGATAGACGACTAGCCGCGCTGATTGAAGGCCTGTATTCAAAATCACGAAGAGTCATTTTGAATAAACTTTATTGTCATAAGAATCTATGTTTTGTTAAGTTCATTTTGGTATATAAATGGTTACATAATGAATAAACTTGTTTCAATTATTTTATATTAAACATGTGACAGCATTTATGATCTGACTAGGTACATTAAGTTTACTGTGTTTTTTTAATACCTTATAGATAGATAATAACAATTTATGGCATTAATATAGTAACTTTATTATTGTTATTTATTTTATACCATAGGATCATGTCATTGTTGAATTGAAAATAATTAAACAACATGTTTTAAGTTATGATTTTATTTAATAAAAACTTAAATTTACAACAAACATTCTATTTACTTAGATCTCTATTAATTGACTAACAACAATAGTGGCCCCATTCAAACAAATAAACGTGCTGGTTGTAATTTAGAATATCTTTAAAAAGCCACTGAAAACAAACAAGTAAATCGTTAACATTATACTATATTATATATACAGCTATTTATATTTTATACATTTCAAAAATACAACAAAATTGTCGCTTGTATAGTCAGAGTCATTTAAACCGGGAAGACAATTAGTGCCGCTTTACGCCAAAATGCAACGTGGTTTATTTAACTATAAAAGCAATAAAGAATTTGAATAAAATAAACACAATTTATTTATATAATTCTCAATATTTATGTAGCGCGTCGCGCTGTGAAATTTGAATTTTTTTATAGAAAATGAAGCTTTCGCTATCCTACTGCCAATTGCGTAATTTGCATAGAGGTATAAGAATAGAGTAGGGGAGATATAGATTCTACTACAAATGGAAGTGTCCCTCTAATAGAAAGAAGATGCGAGACCGCTAGCTTTCTCTCTCTAATCGCACATGCGCATTGGCAACCGTAAGCATCTTACTATTTGGATGTGATGCCATTGGATGCCATGCGTCACAAGAGAGAGATAGCTAACGGTCTCTCATCTTCTTTCTCTTTCTACTAGAGGGACACTTTTAGAGCCACCTTCCCAAGGGCGCTCATGGGGGGTCATGACCCCCCCTGGGTTGGGTCCATCTGTACCCACTGTGACTTGACCACGACTACATGACCCCCCCCCCCCCCTGGCGCCAGAGCTGGATCCGCTCTTGCGCCTTCCCCACTCCATTCTTATACCTCTATGGTAATTTGTTATGAAAGGACCGCCCTATGGCGATTCTCTATGCACTAACCTGCGGGGCGCGACGACGGAGCCACGCGCGTGGTTCCGAGAGTGCAGGAGCTCAATATTTTATTCGCTCGCCTGTCATAGTATCGTCGAATGCGACTTAAGTCACTTTCGACTTGCAAGTCGCATGATACTCCGTATTTTTGAATCGTTCATCTACAGTGTATTAACAACACGGAAAAAGATAAAAAGCTGTCATTACCGCTGTGAAAAATAAACGTATAATTCTCAATAACTGGTTATTTAATATTTTGCCTTTATTGTTAGAAAAGATCAAACTTCTCAGCAAATCGTCATCAAATCTGTATTTTAAAAAAATTGACAAAAAAATCTTGAAAATATCTCATATCATAACTTTGACAATTATTCTACCATTCACCTCCATTATTCGCCAACGCGCAACGAGTGGTCGAGACCGCTCGTTAACGTCGAGCGATTCAAAAATATTTGCAAAATAATAGCGTATAAATCGAGCGTTCGACGCAAGGTGAGTGATTCAAAAATAGCTGGTTTTGTCGTACAAACTCGCCACTCTCGCACTACGTTGCGTGATGCGGTGCAAAGTGAATCGCCTTAATAACTTTATCAGTAAGAAGTCAGTTATAAACTTCAATTTTGTTAGCGTTTAAGGCATTGTGTAACTTCTGTTTACACCATCCCTTTTAGGGTTCCGTAGTCCTGACAAGGAACCCTTACAGTTTCGTCTGTCTGTCCGTCCCCGGTTTTGCTTGGAGACTGTTAGCACTAGGGAGCTGTAATTTTGTGGAGATATGTATATCAATCACGAGGATAAAAGGTTACGGTTAATGTAATTTAAGGTAGAAGTACAGGGCCACATTTAGTGGTGTGGTGTGGAGGATAAGGGGCGTATTTTAAATTTTTGCCCCGGATCTATTAAGATTTGCACTACCGGGAAGGGGACCTCGCAATTATCTCTGTTGTGGAGGCCCCTGGGCAGTAGCCCCGCCTTTTATTCGGCCCTGTCTCTACAGGGCCCTTTGGCAATTACGTACTAATTTGAAGTACGAGGTAAGCAAGTCAGGACTGATCGAAAATAATGTAAGATACATAGTACCTATCTCTTTATAATTATGAAGAATAAGAATAAGCAAAAACGATATGTTTCATTTATGTAAAAAAAATATATTAGCTATGAAATAAACAATATATTCGTTCTATCACTAAATTTGCTTTGGACACGTACAATTTTTAGTTTTAAAATTGCGAAATTAAACTTTATTCAAGTTCCATAAGGACATTAACATTTATTTACATGACTACATTTTATGTTAAGGTAATAAGGTTCAATTTTACATAAACATAATTCCGAGGCGATTAATAAAACTTATTAATATGAAACTAAAGCAAAGGCCACACTACAAAGAACTGAGATTAAAGCTACTTCATAATTGAAAGTAAATAATCCCAGTAAATCGACGTGGTGAAGCACTTTTAACACAAGCGATAGTATTCAGTACTTAACGTAATTGACCAAACTATAAGTAACTTCTAAGCTTGGAACCTATAGTCTGCCGTCCTAAAACTAAAGGGCGGCTAAGTGATATGTGGTCGATTTTTCAGTCTTTAAATTGCATCTTATACAGTTTTTAATTCTCTATCGACCGGTCTTTAATAAGAATTCGTATCTAAAGAAAAGTTTACTAGAAAAAAAATTTTTTTCTAGTAAACTTTTCTTTAGATTTAAACATCTAGCAGTTAAATGCTTAAAAATAAATAAAATCATAAGAATTCGTATCTTTTATAGTTCAAGTCTAGAAATCCGTCATGTGATGAATGGTTACAAAATAGCAATAATTTAAAGTTTACCGGCCGTTTATTGGCCATAATTCAAAAGCTGGTTTTGTCATTTAGCCGCGTTTTAGCTTGAGGACAGCTGTGTGGGCGTAGCTTTAGTCTCATTTGAACAATCATAAATTAAACATTAGAAAAAATCAACTATCA